TGATAGCATAGAGTTCCTCCAACATTTCATTTCTTTCCCAATATCTATTTGGACCATAAACATTGGTGAGAACCCAAGTAAAGCCATCCTTCACGTTTTTGAATTTCATTGATATCGAGAACCTCCCTAGCAACTCCTCCATTGACTCTACCACATCTTCCTTCCACATTATCACCATTTCCCCGAAGGCCCCACAAGAAGGGATAAAAGACCACCTAACATCCCTTGAGCTCCAAATGCTTCTTATCCACCTCCCATCCATCTCCATCAGTTTTGTTTCTTGTATCAGACCAATATTTGGCTTTTCCCTTCTCAATAAATCTTTGATAGCTCTTCTTTTCCTTGCACTCCCCAGTCCTCTTACATTCCAACTAATTATTTTCATAATGTTTACTCAAAGAATAACCCTATTTACCTGTTCTGCCCCTAGTTTTGTTTTCTCCTTCTCTCACCCTTTCCACTAAACTCAATATCAGCTTCAACATCCGACCTCAACCTTTCCACATCTGACTTCTTCTTCCTCCTCTTTTTCTTTTTTTCTTCATTTTTCCTAACATAAACCTTTGTCTTATTCCACTAAACTCAACGCTCGCTTCCACCTTGCAGCCTCCATGAACCTCTCCTCACCCATATTATCCATCTTGCAGCCTCCAACTACAATACCAAAAATATACTAATAAGAACAATATACATTTTCTCCTCTACCAAAACTTATAACAGAATATTTGAATATGCCCACGGCTAAAGAAGCTTTGGTTTATATGCATTTGGGGTTGATATTCTATCCACTTTGAATGTAGAAAGTGATCATGTGTAAGGTGTTTCTTTCTTTTTTTTTTTTTTTTTGCATTTTCTTGTTCTCTTAAGGTCTTCGCAGCACCATTGCTTTGTCCAATGATAAAATCTTTCAGCTCACAAGTATGAGAATGCAAATTTGATTTTGAGAGGAGCCATTTGGGTGATGAACCATTTAACTTTTCCAATAAAAGATATATAAATATTAGTTTAATGAGAATTACATTTTTTCTTGTAAAAATTAGTAAAACCAGGGAAGACAGAACTAGTAGGTGGGTCAAGTTCATTTGAAACTAGAGGAGATGTAGGACACAGCTTTCACATAAGCTTCAGAATCGAGGCATAGGACTTGCTACTCAAAGAAATCACACATCGAGGGGAGCTCTCACTAAAGGTTCAGAATGGAAGGGAAGTAATACACTGGTAAATTAGACAACACACTCTTAATCAGTGTTGTCCTCCCTCCTAAAGAAAGATATTTCCCCTTCCAGCCTGCCAATCTTTAGTCTATACTATCCACCACCGGCTGCCATGCTAATGAAAAGAGGCATTTGCACCAATCAGAATTCCCAAGTATGTGAATGCGAACTCCCCCACCTAGAATCCCAAGGTTGTTCATTCTTCTACGAGGTCCTGTGAAATGTTACCCTCTCCAATCAACACACTTTTCATTAAATTGATCTTTTGCCCTGCTAGCATCTCAAACTAATCCTCAATTTCAAAACTTGGCCTATTGAGGCTTCTAGGAATATCAAGGTGTCATCTACAAATTGAATGTGTGTGATGGAAACTCCTTTACCTGCTTTAAAACTCTCAAAAATCCCAAACTCTGTTCCTTTGATCGGCAATAAACTCAAAACTTCTGCCACCAATAGAAATTACAAAGGAGAAAGAGGATCTCCTTGCCTTATACCCTTTGAGGTTTGAAAATTTTGTGTTGAAAACTTGAAATTCCATTTACAAACACTAAGAATAATACAGAGGAAGTACAAGCAAATATCCAGCTCCTCTGTCTTCCCCCAAAACAAATTCTAGGTATAACTTCTTCAAGAAATGTCTAGTTTACATACCAGTCCCTCTCTGCCACTTTTTAATCTTGTATCCACACATTCACTTGCTATCACCAGTCTGTATAAAATTTGTCTACCTTCAACAAAAGCCATTTGAGTAGGACCCACAATGTCATACAACGCTGATCTTAATCTTCTAGATAAAACCTTCGCAACAATCTTGTATGGACTTGATATCAACCTAATGGCCTGAAATCTCTCAATTTGCATGCTCCCTCAACTTTGGGAATGAGAGAAACAAATGTTGCATGTGTACTCTTCTCAATCTACTTTTCTTGCCAAAATTAAAGGCACAATATAGTTTTCTCACTTGTTACCTTTGTAGTTTCTTCACTTCACTCCATTGCTTAGGGATGAAAACGGATTGGATTGAATTCAAATCATGGTATATCCGAATCTGATCCGATACTATGAAGAGCAGATCCGATCAGAACTCACAAATAGGGATTTGAATTCGAATCCGATGAGGAAGTCGAATATTCGAATATGATCCAATCCAATTTGATTTTTTAAAAAAATAATAAATTATTAAAAGAAAAATAAAATATAAATAATATGTTTATAAATAAATAACAATATATGTGTGTGTGTTAGATGTTTATATAATTTTTCTTTAAAGAGGTAAATAAATAACATATATATTAGATTGGATCTTCTCGGATCGGATAGGGGGTGATCCAAAATTGATCTGATTTATGACCGGATCCTATTATCTTATGCGATTCAAAGATCCGAAATGGGGATATTCGAATCTGACAACATGGATTGGACTTTGGATCGGATCATGATCCGATCCATTTGCACCCCTACCATTGCTTGATGTTTTCAAGCCTCCACTTGCTTTTTTCCAATACTCAGCAGCTTGTCTTACCACCATTCCAAAGACAAGCCTCAGCAATTTTAGAATCTCCCTGCTGAATGGGTAATTCCTTCCCTTAAAATCGTACTTGAGAGTTTCCTACCTTGTATGGGTAAGCAATCAACTCTTTGTGTCCCATCAACATCAAAAATTCATATGGAATCTTTGAAAAAGGCATTCCTCCAATAAGATAGAATGAGCTGAGCAGTAAAAGCTTACTCAGAAGAAATTTCCCGAATCTACCTACCGGGAGAGGAAAGATACTATGGAGATGTTCTAAAGCTGCTATTTTATGGATGATTTGGGAGGAAAGAAATGGGAGACTTTTTCAAGAGAGGGCTCAAAACAGAAGGGTAATTATTGATCTCATAACAGTGAGAGTGGCACATTGGGTGAAGACTTTAGGTCTTTTTGGATCTTTTACCACTAATGATATTATTAGGAATTGGGGGCTGACAGCAACCTCTTCCATTACCAGAATGCCAAGTGCCTGTTCAACCTAGATGAGAACCCCCCACACATTTGCTGATTAAGCTCAATTTTGACGGCTGCAGTAGAGGCAGCCCTGGACCTTCTGGTATAGGAGTTTTCAGAAATGTCAATGGGAGCATCCTTGGTCTATTTTCTGGTGTCCAAGTTTCAAAAGACCACTCTTGGACAGGGAGATAGAAGAGTGTTTAAATCTACTGGAGAAGCTGCAAAGGATGAAGATACCAGCTCAGTCCAGGGATGAATTTTGGTGGAAAGAGTGCTCGAATGGAAAGTTCTATTCTAATCCTGCTATTCAACTGTGTGCAGGAACCAAATGGAATGTGATTCAATTGATGGGGTCTGGGGTAACCCAGTAACCCCCATGGTGGAAACTTTTGCTTGACTGGTGGCTAGGGATTGTGTGTTAACAGTGTATCACTTGAAGATAAGGGGTTTCAGCATGCACACCGTGTGCTTTATGTGTAAGGAAGATGAGGAATCTGTTTTCCATCTCTTCTTTTCATGTAAAATTTCTGGGTTTTTGTGGAGTCTCTTCATGGCACTCTTTGGATTAGGAACTTCCAACCAAGGACACCTGCTGAAATCTATATATGGCCTGTGGCCAAGATTCAGGAGAGGGAAGAAAGGTAGAATAATATCAAGCTGTTTTCCATTTTCCATCTATTGAAACACATGGAAAGAAAGGAACAGAAGAATCTTTGAATACATGGAAGGGAAGTTGGACAAACTGGCGGTGGCTGTTAGCAAATCTATTGCAGATTGGTTCTGATATTGCCTGAGTTTTCTCAGCTTAAGAGAGAAGCTCTAGGAGAAAGATTATGGGAGATGATGGGGTTACAAAATTGTGAGATGGAGATTTGAAATTGTATTTGTTCTAGTTCTGTTTTTGTTGTTATGTGTTGCCTTAACACCTATCCAGGATGTACTATATCTTTTTATTTTAATGCAATTTACTTATTACTTATCAAAAAAATAGGTAGAGTGGTGGCTTTGTAGTCACCCTTGGAGCATGGTGATGCATTGACAGCAGAATTGGTCAGTCTACTGAAGGGGTTAAGGCTTGCTAAATACTTGGGTTTCCACAATATAGAGGTGGAAGGGGATTCTCAAATAGTCATCTCATGGACTAAAAACAGTAGCCAGATTCTTTGGCCTTCCAGTATAAATTCAGGGAGATTGCAAGCTTAACAAGGGAGTTAAATGTAGTTTTTATGTGGGTGAGAAGAACAGCAAACAGAATGGCAGACTCTTTGGCCAAACAAGGGTCTGTAAGACAGCAAATGTTTTGGGCAAATCGGTAATCTTTTGTTGTTTTGGGGTGGAATTTACACCCAATCTCTTGTAATTTCTAAGTTTACATCAATAAAATTCATTTCATTTGTAGAGAACACTGATGTGGTCCCACTATGTCCGTAGGGCAGAATGTTCCTAGTCATCCTAGGGTTAGCTGCTGTTATTCTAGTTGTTATTTATTTTTCAGTTTTATATTATTATGTGTTATGTAAATACCAAGGGCAGATGTGTCCTTTCATGTAACTAGCATAACCTATAAATATTAAATAGAAGTAGCGGCGGCAGAATAATTTAGATTCTGTCCTTCCTTTCAAAGTTTGTGTTCTACTGCTCTCTCTCTACTCTTTCTCCTCTTTCCTCTACACTTTCTCTTCTTTTCAAACCTGAAATTTCTTAGTGTTCAAGACTAATAGCAGTCTTGAACAACTACCTCATTTTGATCAAAAAGAAAGAAAATAAACTATGAAAAACCTTGGTAGCCATTCCATTACCTCCCAGAGGGAAGAAAGTCTCCAAGGGCAAAAACCAAGCCAAAGACCACAACAGCCACGCCTACACCAACCTATTTCAGATTCAAGTTTCAGTCAGTGTCCCTGCACAGACAAGAAAAGGAGGACAAAGGAAAATTCAATTCCATCAACCTTCAGAAAACAACTTGCCTTGGTACCAAGTCCAATTGTATTTTGATCTGATTCAATTTGAGCATCATAGTCAATCGCTCCATATTGCTTGTTTTCCTCTGCTTTCTTTTGCTCTATCGCAGACCTGAGAACCATGTGAAAGATGAGAATATTCTCAACTTAGATGCACATAAAAACAAGAACTTATTGGAGATAACATCTTTATGTAAGAAGTATTTAAATAAGAGTACACCAATTCCAAAAAGAATTTCAGGACTCCCATTTATCCTGAAATCAGGTTCAAATTTCTTACATGGATATCCATTATTTAATGTAAAAAAAAAATCGTTCTTTACAACCAAAGAGAACTATTTAAAGACGTAGGATATCAAGTAGACACCAAAGGCTTTAAGCTACATTAGGGGATAAAACTAGAGAAATTTATCTAAACTTCAATTTTGGAAGTAGCTACAATGGTACATTCTCAAAAATAGAAAAAGTAGTAATAACGGTACTATAAATAATAAAAACTAATAGTAACTGACTAGACAAGTCTGGAGGACGACCAAACAATTTCTAGAAGGGAAGCATTTTAGCAAGGACAGAGGAAGGAACATAATTGATTAAGAAGATAGTTGTACTAGCAGCCTCTACCCAAAATGAAGAAGGGGCATGAGATTTTTGTAGTAGAGTTCTCACAACACTGAGCACATGTCCGTTCTTACGCTCAGCCACTCCATTTCTACTGAGGTGTATCTAGACAACTTCGTTGGACTTGTATACCATGGTTCTTTAGATAAGATAGTCCCCATTAGTGTATTATCCCCCTGAGCCTAAGCGGAGAATACGCACATAAGACTGGAACCAGACTCATACCACGGTATGAAAAGGTTGAAATGTAGGATAAACTTCTAATTTATGTCGAAGAAAATAAATCCATGTGTACCTGGTGCAATCATCAATAAACAAAACAAAGTACTTTTATCCGAGCCGAGAAACAACAGATGAAGTCCAAATATCACTATGTATGAACTCAAATGGTGATGTTACATGCTCAGATGAAGTCCAAATATCACATCAAGTATCAAAAGTATATAAAGAGGGACCATTATTTTTAATGGAACTAGAATCAAATAAAAACTTTAATTTTTCAAAATGTGGGTGTCCCAATCCTTTATTCTATAAATCCCAAATATTATTCCTTTGTCCAATAAAAGAGCCATAAGAAGATGAACTAAAGTAAGTAGATGATGCTCATGCTTGAGGATTCTCGAACTCTAATACAAAAATAACTTAGACTATGCCCCTTCCCAATGTACCTCATTCCTAGATCAAACAACCATCATGAGAAAATGTAAGTGCATAACGTTCATTAACAAGTTGACCAACAAAAATCAAATTAGTAGTAAGATTAGGAACAAAAAAAGTTTTAGTAAGCGGAAAGGAAGCATTAGATGAAAGATTAAGGGACATGCCATTACAACCAATGATATTCAATTTTTCACCAGTGGTCATAATATTATTAAAGGGATGAGAGATCCATCATATGGATGGCCAAACCCTGCAGGAAGGTAGAGCGAAATTTCAAAAATTTCTCTCTCCCATCTGGGAATCACATTCCCTGTTTTAGAAAATCTGCATTTTCAATGATCAATCTTGAACCAAGAGCCGAACCAGATCTGAACCAAAACAGTAGGAGAGGGTATACCTGATACGAAGATGCAATATCTCCCAACGAAGGTGTTCACGCCCAAAGAAAGACTCGAAAGACTGCTCCCATTGAAGATGACACAGCGAATGGTGGAGCAGAATCAGCAGGGTCTGTCCAACGAACCGAATTCTTCAGCAAGAATTCGATGGAGGCAGTGAGCACGACTTCTTATCAGCCTTAGAAAGGCTGATATCAAGACACCTCTTGATCGCTCCTACAAAGGAAGGAGATCAAACTGGCAGTATGGCAGCAACTGGAGGAAAC